CCGAAGCACCGCGAAATCCGAGGCAGATTCTCACTGGATGATAGGAAGAAGGCCCCCATTGGCAGCCTCCATTTTGGGTAATAGGCGATGGGTGGTGGGGGATGGGGGTTGGAGGTTGGCTTGCATGCAAATGAGGCAAACAAATGTGCACAAATGTTCAACAAATCAAACAAACGAAACGAAGGAGAACCGAATGTATACAGACGAAAAACGGCAAACAATAAATACATTTTAAACAATCGGCCTGGCCCCTCACCTCGCATTGTGCTGTCAGATTTTATTTCCATTTTCTCACCAGAAAGGAAAACTTGCAGTTGCATACGGCCCACAGCTGGAGAATGGAAATTGAAAATTTGTGGAGCGATGGGAAACATTTTGGACACAGGAAATTGATTATTATTTATGATTACAAGGCCCCTTGCCCCCACCTTCCACTTCTGGCCATACGTGAGAATCGGAGTACAGAAATTCCCCAAAAAAAAATCAAAAAAACAAAGGGCAGAAATGTATCTTAGAGATACAGTAACAGTAGCATGCTCAAGATATAAAATGCAATTAAGAGGGAGAACTGAGAAATGCTGGTGCCTCTCAAGTGGGCTCTCCATAATTACAGACATGAGGCTGGCGCATGCATCTCAAGTGTTTTTCCATATTCCAGCTAAAAGGACATGGGAACTTTCGTGCATATGCATCCGCCGAGAGCGGAGCATAACGAAATATGGCATGTCCTTTATGAAATCCGACACTGTCCTCCAGAAGGAGAAAGCAAAGTATGAACCTGAGACGTGGGCGAGCTCCTTACCTGCCAGCCGGTTCCTATCCTCTCACAAAAACTCGAAAATATGTTTTTTTAAGGGCCAGACACTCGACTCGACTTGACAATGGGAAATGTCGCGATCCTCGACTGGCCACTTAGCCGGTTCCTGTTTCGCTGGAACTTCAATCCCAAAACAGGATACTAATGCTCTTATTTTTTTGCTATTTTTTTGGGTAGAAAAACTCATTGCATTATAAACCGCCGTGAGCAGTTGCTAATTATTTTTTGTTTATTACTACCGGCTTATCAACCCGATAAGAAGTTGTGATTCATACGTATGCAAAAGGTGGTTTTGTTGATTCCAGAAATACTCTCCACGTCAGATACTCGAACAAAGCAATTATCAATTTAAAGTGAACCTCGCCCATGGCCATGTCCAATGATCGTATCGTGGCCATAATATGTTCAAGTTTACAGCCCAAATGAATCCCACAGCCTCATTATTTATGTTAATGTATCGCCAGCCCAGCTACATTCAACATTGCACAATTCCCACAGGATCGAACCAGTTCTGTACAAACTTAAGACACTTCTAAACCGAATGAAACAATACACTTGACATAGCAACGTGAACATTAATATTTAATTTTTAATGAATCTGCTCTCAGCAAGATTATGAATTTAATCAAAATCAAAATTAATGGCTCACATAAAAAATGTTTTAGTCGTACTAAAATTATGAAAGGTCAAATGCTTTTTATATTTATATTTATAGGTAATAACATTTTTGTTGAAAGGTTAGCAAGCCACAATAATATTTTTTTTATATTCATTTTAATCTTTTTGAATTTTAATTTAAAATATAAGCAATATAACATTAAAGAAATATAAAAAATGAATAACTCAATTAAAATATTTTCCCTCAACTAATAGGCTTATTAGAAAAAGAGAGAAATTATTCAATCCATCCCAAATCTCAAGTTATGCTTGAATAAAACCAACCAACATTACCAACCTCTGAACCCTTGTAATAGACCCATTTAAGAGGGCAATAAAGAGCGACCGATTTGGCCATATACTACCGAAAACAAGGCTGCAACGACAACTGCAACGAGCCAAACTTATAATTTATAAGCTTGTTTCCTTGTTTCAAGCGTAAAACACCTGCACTCAGGTCGACTCTCGCCATCTCCCTTTACTTTTGGTTTTGCCGTCTCGTTCTGTGTTGCGCATGCGCAGCCGAGTACTTCTACTTTTTCTGCCTTCGCTTGGTGGCTCTGTGTATTTTTCTTTTTTGCATGAAATAAAATCTCACGGTTCAGATGCGTACAAAGTTGGCGAAAAAATAAAAGGCAAAAGGCCCGGGGAGGGGGTGGAGGGGAGCAGGTGGTAGGAAGTCTGGGCAAAAACAAAACAAAAAACACAGAACAGAAAACACAAAACCAGCCATAAGTCGGTCGCAGAGGGGAGACATGCATGTGGGTTTGTTTTTGCAAAAAAAAAAAGACGTTAAACACACAGCAGAAGTAAGTAAAGAGTAAAAACTGGTTTCTGCAAGCAAGCTCTCAAGACGGTTAGCAATAGAACTGAAAATTTGAATAAACACCGCTGCATCGCCAAATGTTGTTGTCCTTTTTAACGAGGCAATCCGTATCTGTATCTGTACTTCATTCATATTTCGAGATGCTTAATGGGCCCAGTGGCAGCTCTACCTGGGCACACAGGTAACCAACAGGTAGAAAAGGTCTATGGCTGTGTGTGTTTGCACTGCTCATGGGAAATCACGCTGGTAGGGAAACCTGTTGTTGTTCCCTATAACCAGAATGAAGGCGAAAAAGAAGAATATGATGCTGATGCTGATGCTGAAGCTGTAGCTGAACAGATGCACGATAAGCGAAGGGATCGAGGGATACAGATAACTCTCACTTCCTCCCCCGGCAATTTCTTGGTGAATGAATCGAATCCCTTTTATCAATCTTTGTCTGAAGCCCCCTTTGTGCCGCACACCTTGCTATTTCAGTATCTGATGCATTGCTATCGCAGATACAAATACTAGTATCTCACGACGATACGCAGAACTCGGCACTGTTATTGTTCAGTTAGTTAACTGAGATACAGCTCAGCTACCCTACATATATTTTCTGCAAAATTCTTATCGCTTCTGTATTTTATTAAATTTTGGGAAACGCAGAAACGTGTTTCTTGGCACAAATCCTTTAATCATTAAAATATTAATGGAACATATTCAAATTGTAATCAACAATTCAGATCCTTAAGGAAATTCATTCCATTCATATTTTTCCTAAAACAAAAGTTCCAGAGACTGCGTTCTTGGAACACCGCAAACTTAAATTTTTATGTGAAATTTTTCAGTTTCATAAAAATTGTTTAAAATATATGCATGTTTGTATGTGTTTATTTTATTTCTCCTAGTTGGCGGTTCGAGTTACAGAAGCTCGACTGTGTGGTGCAAAACTGCTTACCTTTCGTATCGCCAAGATCCACATAGCCAGCATTGCTGACTGATGAGTTGGTGGTGGCTGCCAAACAGCCGAGGATCAGCACCGCCGACAGAGTGGAGTAGAGTCCCCACGATCCTCGCGTTATCCTCATGATGATAATCCCAATTCCGTGACGGATTGCTTATTTTTCACCAACTGTACAAACACGCGAATCGCGGCCGATTTGTTTATTTACTTCGAATCGCTTTTGGAGATTGTGGGTGGCGTAGGGGGGGTTGTGGATTGTGGGTGGTGCCTAGTCAAGCGTGGCTGACGCTCCTCCTTGCCCCATCTCAAAAAGTCAGACTTTGGCCGGCGCGTAATAAGCGATTTTTTTTTACTTTACTTTTTGACCCGAAGCCTCTTTTTTAATTCACGAAACGAGCGTGCAAATTGTAATGTGGCAAAAAACAGATAACGCGATTATAAAAAGAGGTAAGGCCAGTATGAAACAAACTGGGCGATCACTTACACTCACTAATACACACACACTGCTGGCCAAAAAGCTCAGCTTTTGTTGTGCAATAAAAACAATTGTGATTTTTGTTTAGAATTGCACTTGATTATTGATATTTTTAAAAGAATTTAAGGTTTTTATATTTCTCTATAAGAAATCCATTATAATTAGATGATATCATTCCCGGCGATTTTTCGAATACGATGTTTATTGTGATATTTTTTATATTGCTTTTGACTGGAAACCGAAACACGAACAGCGCGTTTTGGAAAAATATATTTTCTTTAAACTATTCTCTGGATTTTCGATTTTAAATTCTGCCTTTAGTTTTGCTACCAATTTCGGTTGGCGCGCACACGTCCGTTCGCTCGAACCGTTTTTTTCGGTCTGACTCGTTTGGAATCGTTTCGGAATGATTCGTTTTCTCCCGCTCTCCATTCTCTTCGCCTTATCTCTTCCGTTTTCTCTTTCTCTTCGGTAACCGTTTGTGGTCTACGTTTCGTATTCCCAGCCACAGTGTTTGAAATTAACCAATCACCCCAGTTTCGAAAACTAAATGAGCCAAACTTAGACAGGAATGAAAAATCTTGGTACGGCAAAAAATCTGGTGAGTCATAAGAATCAAAGAACTTGTCAAATGTTTAACCTATTAAATAAAAATAAAAACTTATTGGTATTTATGGCATTAAATGTAGTTTTATTGATTATTGTAGGATTAAAAACTATCGTAGCTTCTGTTACACAGTTACACTTTCGAGCAATAAAACGTTCAACGGTGAGAGCATGATCAATGCAAAGAATTGTGAAATAATTTTGATTGAAATATTAATATCAAAATTGCGAAAGCCATGAACACACCTACCGCATTATAATTTAAGACAAGAACATTATCTTTTAATGATTGAATGTGCAAAATGCACTTTAAGCTTAAAATCAGAGTAATCTTAATAGTATCACAAATATACTTTCCCGAAACAAATAAAATTAAATCTTTGCCATGTATGCTCTCTGAACATCTGAGATCTTGGTGATGGTAAATCAGATCAAAATCTATATTGTCTCCTGCGACTGGACTCGTTTTTTTTTTGGTAGGTGGGCTTTGTTCAGTCTTTAAGGCCCTATTTTAAATATAAATTGTAAAAATTTAAATTGTTTCGCGGCAAGATTTTAGTGTTGTATAGGACAATAATCATACAAAGCAGGTAGCTGCACCCCTGGTTTAATACCCTATCGGTATAATAAATACAGCCGGTTAGTATTTTATTGCAATATTGGGGCGGTCACACTAGTTGCTTGTTGATGTGCACAAAAAAAAACAATAATTATAAATAAACCTAGAATTCCATAGAAAAATGACCGTTGTGCTGGTTCTAGCTATATTTGCTTGTAATTAACTAAATACTGACAAAAGTGTTAATCCAAACATTATAAAATGAGTAAATTTGCAAATTTTAATGGCAATGATGAGGAAGAAAATGAGACTGAGCAGAAATATGCGCACATTTTAGGTGGGTAAAGTTGCACCCGAAGAATGAATCTTATTTAATCCATGATTTTTACCACAAACACAGATCTGGGAAATCACTCGAATCCCCCGGTATTGGACAACAGTTCTGGAAAAGCCAGTCGCTGCAAGTGGACAGACGAAGAGGTCGAATTATTTTTAGGAATTATCCATCAACTGAAACTTCAATCTCCTCTGCGAAGAGCACGCAATGAAAAGGTGTTCAAGGTGATATCTAAGGAAATGGGCAGACGCAACTGTCCCAAGACTCCGAAGCAGTTAAGGATCAAGTACCACCAGATGAGAAGACAGTATGTAAGGACCAGGAGGAATGGCAGCGAGCCGATGGAGTACTTCGAGGCATTCCACGAATTGATGCAGGGAAACGAAGGCTCTGATCTGGAGGCGGAACTAGAGACTGCCTCCGATGGAGAGGCCGACGAGGACCAGTCCGTCCAGATCTCGGAAACCGAAGGAGATGGTAGGTGCAACGACACAACAGAATACATATGTTACATACCCATTGGCGAATTTCCACAACTCGAACTTAGGTCCTGCCAACATTACAAATTACAGACTTTGAGATAAAGTAAACAAATTGTTTATACATGTATGTTTTCAAACATTTATTTAACTTTTATTAAACAATTTAAAACCCACCGAAAAGTGATTGAAAAAAATTTTTTATTTAAAAGATTTAATCAGATTTTATAATTATCGATTTCACATTTTATAAGAATATAATATAGCAAGAAAGACACCTTGGATGGACCCTAGAAAAAATGCATTGGTCCCAGAATTAGTGAAATTGTAAAATTTTACTTTCAGTTAGAACTTAGTCAAAATTTCTCTTTTTTATCTATGCATATATAACTTAACTTATTACATATCTCGATAACAACCCTCACCTCTTCTCCAGATGCCTTAGACGCCTCATGTTCGTCGATTAACATAATTGCACGTTGCAAGTGGGCCGAAGGCGAGGTGGACATCCTCCTAGACCTGATCCACTCCCTTGGACTGCGGACAGCTTTGCTACGAAAGCGCAATGCGAAGGTCTTTAAGCTGCTGGCCAAGGAGATGGCGAAACGAAATTGCAATAAGGGTGCGGACAAGCTGCGCATAAAGTTCCAGCTGCTACGACGGATGTACAACAAGGTTAAAAATGGCACAGGGGAAACTTTTGAGCACTTTGAGGCCATGCGACAGGTCTTGGATCCCACCGAAGAGGAGGTGGCGGCCGCAGAGGCTGAAGCGGATGCCAATCTGAGCAGCGGCAGCGAAAGTGAGGAGGACAGTGATGAGGAAGAGGGTGATGCCTCACACAAAGGTGGAGGTAGTAAAATCTAATATACAATCCGATACCATTTTAAATGAAATCATTCCTTATTCAGCTCACTTTTGGACAGACGACGAGGTGGATTCCTTTCTACTCATTATTAGGGACAATGGTTTCTTTCGCGCCTTGGATGGTTCGAGGAAACGCAACTTTCAGACCCTTGCCCATATTTCCAACATTCTAGCTAAACAAGGAATTAAACGCACTCCCCACCAGCTTCGAAATAAGCTGAGATTGCTCTTCAAGCGGCATCGAGAGGCCAAGGAGCATGGATTGGATAACGTGCGAATATTGCCACGCCACTTCGAGCTATTTGATGAACTAATTCTGGCGCCGAGGGAAAACAAAAAGAGTGTCATACAAAGGCCTATCCGCCACATAAAATCTTCCTTTTCTAAGCCACCAAGGAAACCAAACGTTCCGGTGGATAGTGAAAGCGAAAACTCCAGCTCCACCTGTGATCTTCTAAGAGCTGCCGCTGATAGCGAGGACTACGAGGATGCAATTGAGATGGAGTCGGAACCAACGCCGATTGAAGCACTTACTGCCATAATCGAAGGCCAAAAACAATTACTGGCTGAAGTCAAAGCCACCAACGAAAGCTTCCTGCGGCAGCAACGTGAGCAGCAGCAACAATTCCTGGTACAAGTATCCGATCTAATGCGCCAGGATCGAGAGGAGACCCTACGCAGGATCAGGGAAATGCTTCCACCAAATTAGTCACACCCAACTCAAGCTTCTAAAACTTTTATTGAATTGAATTCGAAGTTATTGCAAAAAGTTGTCATTATTTATATGTATTATATGTATGTATTCTATATTCATATCGTGTGTGGTGTTTCTGTGACAGTGTCATGTGTCTAAGGGTTTTCTTCATTCATTGTGAACAGAATTTTGGTTGGAGTTACTCGCAATTCGCAATTGTCTACAATTTATCTAGGTATTTGTATATGTATATACGTAATTTTGAGAGATTTTCTTTGTTATTTGATATGCTACATTTTTATAGTTTTCGTTATTCTTGGGATTAAGTTAACAGTTGGATTTATTTTTAGGTTTTAACATTAAGCAGAAATGCTTGTAATCTTTGAGTTTCGTTTTCGTGTTGTTTGTATACACATAAGTATATATTTTTTGTATATTGTTCGTTTTACAACAACTAAGCAAGCTCGTCATAAAATGTGTGTTGCATTTCCAAAATAAAATTAGGTAGTGGTAACTAAAATGCTGCTGCTGATCTGATCCGATCCGGCTTGATATATTTATCATGTGTATGTTCGTTACGTTACGCTCAGGCACAAAGTGTAAATTACAAATATTTCTCCGCGTCTCGAAAACCATAGGTAAATACAATCAATCAACGGATTCTCATTTTTGGTGGTTAATTATTGCATTCATATCCTAGCAATGTGTGAGTGGCTTGTGTTAATATTATTCTTTTTTGAGTTTCTGTGGCTTTGTGTCTCTTGGAGCACGGCTGAAAGCTTGGCTTGACTTGGCTGCTGCTGCTTTATATTACTCTGTGTGTGGTAACAACAATAACAAGGTGTCTTTTGGGGATTATGTGGCTCTGTTCTAACAATCTAGGAGCTGACCGGCTCGGGCAGTGGGTTCTCGGTGATGCGTATCTTGTTGCTCTGGGTGCCATAGTAGAGGGTACCCGATGTGTCTGTGGTCACGTAGGCACGGTTGCCATTTCCGCTGCCGCTTCTGTTTCCGTTCTCCAAATCCAGATCCTCGTCGTCGCCGCTGCGATTATCGGCATTGTTATTGTCCCCCTGTCCAGCGGTGGTGCAATTAATGGCCGTTTCCCGGAGCCGATTGCCCACCCGGAGGCTCAACTGCCGCTGACGATCCCGCTCCCTTTCCCGCTCGCGTTCACGTTCCTCCATCGCCTGCTGCTGCTGCTCCCGAAAGTTGGCAAAGAAGATCGAGGAGTAGGTGTGGTATTTGGTGCCACAGGGCGAACTCGCTGGCGTGGACAGCGGCGTTGCTGTGGCAGTTTTTTAAAGTGGTTGTTGTTTGGGGGGAAGGTAGTAGTAGTTTGGCTTTTGTTATTTACGTTATGTTACTTGAGAACATGTAAGTTGTTGTTCTTGATGGGTGTTGTTTTTCTTTATACACTTTCTAAAAGGCTTGGCTGCTGTTTTTGAAATGTACGTGTTTGGTGTCTGTGTGTTTGCATAGCTGCGGTCGAAAAAAATGTAGCAGGGCTTTTTAAAATAAAAAAAAATCTGAAAGGGTATTTCCGATTATTATATCTAGCTAAGTTACGTAAATTTTTCAAAACTAGCAAACTATTTTGCAATAATAAGAACTAATGTATTCCAAGATCTCTACAATTAGAAAATGTAATCTATCTGATTTTGTTTAGGTGGTGAAGTTTGATCCTAATATGTAAAAAATGCCCAGAATTATATTGAATTTTAACTTGATATACATATTTTGTTTTCCTTTCATTTGGATACTATTCTTAGGAAATCCCATTTTATTTTATTATTAAAAAAATACGGTTTTGCTATTCCAATCAATCAGACAACTATAATCGACGGATCAGAGTTTAGTGTTTTTCCCAGTCTGCCCAGGAAATATGTAAATATTTTAATTTCTATATTTCGTTGCGTCTGTGCTACTATAATATAATGTACTATACTATTTTTGTATTTTATTATTATTTTATTTTATTGTTCAAGCATCTGTAAATATTTGTTTTTTTTACAAATCGACAAAGGCATTACATGCTTCTTACTGAATGAAACCATGTTGTACAAAAACAAGAGGACCGCAACGGCAAGTGTTTCTGTTGTGTGTGGGTTGTGCAATTTGCATGATTTGAGATGAAAGCGACGACAACCTGCTGCTGCTGTTATATCTATTGTTATTATTATTGTTATTGTTTGTTGTTGTTCTATTTGATGGACGAGATGGAGGGGGAGAGGAGGAAGCTGGGCTGAGATTTCGCGATGATCGATGATATCGTTGGTGATCGATTCGATGTCTGCAGAGCATGCGGATGTTGATGTGGCGCCACCTGTTGCTGAGGTTAGATGTTGTTGCTGTGACGACGATGTTGCTGCTGTGGGAAAGAGACGACGCGACTCCCTCTGGCCAAATACCCTATATACTAGTATGCTAAAGTATCATGGCTTTGGCCGTACCGTTAAAGTTTGAAATTCACGTTGTTCGTTTATTTGGAATTCTCAAATATACAACAAAAGCTTACACTTTCAATTTTCGTTTCGTTTATCGTTTTTTTCGATTTGCGTATGGTTAGTGTATGTAATTTGTATATAATAGCGTTGTCATGTATGTATATTTGTATAGAGTGTATAAACTTATTGCTTTCGTACATTTAAGCTGTGAAAGGTGGTGAAAGCAGCCCGACTTTTAAAGCATGTGAATAAAATGGGTGTCACAACGAAAGGTATTTACGTAAAATACATATAGGCAATGCGTTTATTTATGTAGACAACAAACGAAATGGAAACTAAATCTCCTGCTGCTTTCCACTTATTAGCTTACTAACTAAAAATCGTATTAATTACAAAAAATAATTAAACATATACAAAAGAGCAACAAAAAAATTTCAAAGGAAATCACAGAAGAGGAGAAACCGACGCAACATATTTTTTGCCTTTAAAAGCAAAGCTCTAGACCATATTTTCGAGTGACTTTTGTTCTTTTTTTTTTGTGGGTATTTGGGTGATTATCCAATTGCTTTCGCCCTCTCACTCTGCCCCACTGAATTAAGGGGGCTGTGCCGCTGCTGCTTCTGCCGCTGCCGCTGTTGTTGCTCTCTCCATTCGCTCTTTTCGCTCTGCTTCCGTTCACTGCACGCTGAGCTCAATTTGCGTTGAACTGCTCCGACTGGCCATTGAGATTTTGCGCGCCAACTTTTGCAGTGTGCCAACAGCTTTTGGGGGTTTTCAAAATTGTTCAATTGTTTGTGGTAATTGTTTTCGTTGTTGTTGTGGTTGTTGTTGATGTTGTATATTTTGTTTTCAATTTGCGTGTAAATAAATAAAAAAAAACGAAAGGTCAAATAAATTAAAGAGTTATTCTAAACAAAAGGCGTGTGCAAGATTGTGTGTTATTGTGGAGGAGAAAGTCAAAGAGCATTGAAAAATCGAAAGCGCATCAATTGCCCAGCAACCGAGGTCGCACTGTACTTATGAAGCAAATCTACGTGTATGCAGGCGAGTGTAAGTCATTTTCACTATTCAGCTCTTTGAATACCAAGGTGTTAAGGATAGTTTAAACAAATGTTACATTTTTTTCGTTTTCAAAAATATAGGTATAATATTAAATAAGTGAGACAATTAAATTAACCAATTTATACCGGTTTTTTTAGTACATTACTAAAAGTATGTTTCCAAGAAAAATAACGAGAAAACCATTAAATTAAACTTTTCACATAATAAATAAATCGTATCCTTTAACACCTTAAAGTATCAAAAATTCCTCCACTAGCTGTGTGTGTGTGTGGATGAGTTCGCTTAAGCTCTACTTTGTCTATATATCTGTATATTCGAATGTTAATTTGAATTATTGTATTAATTAATTAGCTAAATGCATTCCAACTAGATTTCGGATTTGTTTTGCAATTTTTGTTGGGTATTTAACTGCTGGGTGCTTCACATGGCAGATCTTCCTACTGGGGTTTTTCGGACACTACAATCACAGGTGCGTTTTTGTTTGTGTACAAATATACATACCATATATACGATTATTATATTTAGTTTTTTGTTGAAATTATAGAGAACGCGCAGTTGCATTAGTTAATTGGTTTTTTGTTGATTTTGTTTTGAGGGGGATCAGAAAACCAATTTCGAAACGAAAAGAAAATCAGAATTAGAATAGAATTGAATAGAACGGAGGAAGTCGTAGGTGAATGCAGCAGAGACAAAGTCGATGGTTTGGATTGCATTGGACATGAAATCGAATGAAGGTCGCGTGTGCAAGGTTATGGATTATGGAGGTTATGGAGGTGCGGGTTTTGAAATTTTCGATCGATTGAAGTTGCAATTTCGTGTGAAAGATTTTGTTTGTATATATTTTTTTCATTTGGATTCGTGTTGCGTGTTGTTCGGTTGTTTTTCGTATAATTTTTTGGCATTTTTTTTTTTATTTTTTTGTTTTGTATGTTGGTTTAGCAAAAACAAGCAGTTTTGGAGAAAGGAAAAAGAAATAAAAACAAAGTAATGAACATCTTGAAATATCTTTTCTTGTTTTGTTGTTGTCGTTCGTGGATGCGATATTGTCTGTAATTATTTTTTGGGTCCTAACTAAAGGGGGAGAGTTTTGGAAGTGGACAAACATGTTTGTAGAAAGTAAACGCTTGATTTTCAACAACTTTTCGATTTTTATTTTGAAATACTTTGTTTGCGTACAAATACTTGGGTTTATCAACATAAATATGAACGTTTTTAAATATCAATTTAAGTTTATTTTTTGTATAATTAACCAATTTATAAATATAAAATTTTGAACATTGTTTTTTGGTTTCGTTTCATTGCATCTCAAAAAGCTTTTGATTCTCAAAGATTCTCAATTTAGGCTAAGATCAGTTTGGGTCAGGATCGATGTGTTATTTGTGTGTGCGTGTGTCTCTAAAGAGAAAACCAGGGGCTAGACTAGGAGCATCTCTTGAGGGGAACTGAACTGAACTGAATCTATGGAGGGGGTATCTTGCTTCGTTCGGAAGGGACTTCTAGATGAAGCTGCTCGACTGCGTGCAGTCCCAGTCGCCGGGTCTGAAGTACTTGACTAAGACAGTTAGGTGGTTAAGTAGTAGTGGTAATTGCGGGTTGATAGAGGGATTAGATAGAGTGGGGTACAGTAGATTGTTGAGATTGTAGCAGAGATTGCTGAGGTTGTTCAGTTGTTGTAGCATTTGATGTTGCTGTTGTTCTAGTTGTTCTTTGTTGTTGTGGTGGTTGTTGGTGGTGGTGTGTGCGGTGTTCTAACACTTACCGTAGCCCTCGCCCTGCAAGAAGAGCCGGAAGGCCTCGGCCAGCTTGGCCGGCTGCTCCTCCAGCACCAAAGCGCAATCGGAAATCTGTTAGCCAAATAAAAACTCATTAAAATACAATGCAAACTAATATTGGTACATATACAATTGCGTTCAGAATAATTTAAATAAAATCAAGCTTATGAAATATTTTTATCTAACAACTACAACCTTCTTAACATTAATTTCATTTATATGAAAATATTGTGATCGCAAATGTATGTATTATAAAATCTCTAAAAACCTTCATCCAAGATGAGTTTGTGGGGTCCAGGCGGCCATTGAAGGTCACCGTATCGTCCACGTGGGGCGACAGCGAACCCGTGATATTAATCACCGGCATCTTCAGGGTGGTGGCCGCCGTCTCGGTTCCCGGGGTTCCTGGTGGTGTGCGCGCCAGGTGCAGGTCGTTGCGATGGATGTATGCGTTGATTAGCATGGCCAGGTTGGTCGGATTCACGGCTCGCTCAAAGTGCTGCTTGTACATCTGAACCAGATCGTGATTACGCTCCTCCGGATTGCGTCCGAAATGGTGCCACATCAGGTAATCGATTACGCCCTGTGTCATGCCCTTGGTGCGCAGGAAGCGGGCATTGAAGCTCTGGTAGCCCCACTCGATCCAGCCAGACTGCGTGGACACGCAGTTGATCAGGCACAGGGCGCCCACCTTGTCCGGATGAGAGTGGGCGAAGCGAGCTAGAATATTTGCCCCGGCACCAACGCCGAAACCAATAACCGACTTTAGGCCAAAGTGCGACAGCACGAAAAGCAGTTGGGCGGCCAGATCATCCATGGTCGGATACACATAGCTGTGGGATAATTACAAATTTTATTATAAATTTTTTACTTCATAAAAAGTTAAAATTATTCGAACACAAAAATATCAAACCGGTAGAATATTTCATTATTTTAGAATTGAAATTTATAAAGAAAAGATAAATGTTTTTTAAACAAATTGGAGTATAAAAACTTTATGGTTAAATGGCAGGTATCATTTTTTTGTACTTTTTTTATATTTTTCTTTGTCGATTTATATTTTTGATTTGACGCTGTAAACGTTAATGAATTCTTACTCCTCTGGCAAAGTGGGGGCACCTTCCTCCTGTCCAGGAGCGGTCACATGGTAAACACAGAAGTTCTCCAGCAAACCTCGCATCACTGGAAAGTTAAAGAAGCCAGCAAAGCTGGTGGCGTCTGAAAGGAAAAGAGCATTGAATAAGCGATATTTTTGGTGAGGAAATGAGCAACCTACAGTTTAGGCCCAAATCGTGGTAGGTGACGATGGCCGGCTTGGCCGTGTCGCCCTGTATGGCCACGTGGACATCGCCCTTGTCTGTGGGCACGCGTCGCTGTTCGCAGGCCTCCAGGATGGAGCCGCGGGAATTGGGGAATTGCAGCTGCACGGAGCGCAGTTCGATGTCATCCATTGGATCAACGGGCATGGTGCTGCAGGATTAACAACAAACACTAGTTAGTAACTTGTGGAACTTTAAGCCCTAGTAAAATATATTGTTTAGTGGGATTTTTGGGCGGCGGCAGCAGCAAGTGACAGCAGCAGCAAGGTTAGCTGTTCATAGACTGGCATCCTGTGAGTTTTGTGTCTTTGTGTCGGGAGGATCTGCATCCTGGTTTCGGATCTCATCTAGAGGTTAAAGGCTACTGATCGGTGGGGATATTTCAGGCATGAGTCGATCTCGCTGCTCTCCACTACTCTAGTTATGGTTTATGTATGCAAAACTCAAACAAATCAAGACGTAAAGTATCGGTTAGGTTAATCAACATTCGGAGATAGAAAAATTTGGGATGCTGTTACGGGTTTTAGTTGTCAAACTCAAGTCTATGCAATTACTTACAAGCTAATGGTTGACTCTTAACAATACTAGTACTCGTAAATCAAACACTATGTGAAAAGTTAATGAACAAATTGAACGCAAGATAAATTAAAACAAAAAACTCTAAACTTGTGTGTTGTGAGAGTGTTTTGGGTGGTTTTATTTTTCAACTGAGTGGCGTTTCTGTTTTTGTGTGTGTTGCATATATCTTACAAATTGAGAGGGGTCGGGACGTTGGGGCCTAATTACACAATTTCCTCGTTTTTTTCTTAATGATTCTTTTCGTTTTTTTTTTTTGTTTTTGCTTACCCCAGCAGGTGTGCCTCCTCGGCAGTGTGTGTTGGAGCTGACGGCATCTTGGTGGTCAGTGTCTTACCGGGTTTGTCGCGGTCTCTGAAAGAGATTCTATGAGCATGCAAGCAAAGAATAACCAAAGGAACACAAAAATCGAGGCAAGTTTCTGGCAGACTCTGTTCCAAATCGGCTAAAAACTTTCACCGTATATGTTTCATTTTTATTTTTTTGGGTGGAATTGGAAATCTTAACAGTATATTCACAGGTCGGGCTTAAAGAGACAGGCGACAGCGAAACAGAAACAGAGAAGGAGAAAGATAGAAGGACCAAATTTGGTTGGCTAGATGAATAAAGCGGGGGAATTCTCGTCAAGGTCCTTTACGTAAAACGTAAGCGAATGAGTCACGCAATGTCATTCGGGGTAAATGTCGATGGATGTAAGCAATGTATGAAAATGGCAAGAGACAAACAAGTGGCGCCAGAAAAAAAGGCGACCAGCTGGCTTACTAATTTGACTTTATTTTCCTTTCGCCTCCTCCAAAACGACAGCAACATAAAACAGGAAAAGCGTGGAAGCAGGGCGGAAAACTTTTGTTTACCTACTTGCTCTTCTTGGGATAACTAAAAAACTTTTACTGCAGGGACCGTACTCAATTAGTTAATGCTAGAGGTGTGAGAGTTTTCTCAGGTGAGGGATGAGAGTTCATTATCCTCGAATAGCTAAAAACATATATATATATATATATATGTAGGGTCATGGCTGTTTTCATTATCACCTTTAATTGGTTACGTGATTGGGCCAGTAATTATCCCATGGGGAGTAATTGCATAAGCGGAGCGTATGGCAGAGGAAAATGGACCCAGAGCTATTATACTATGCATTTAAAGGGACTACTAGTTACTGACTACCTTTTGAAGAAATTTCACTTCCAACCCTGATTGCTCATTAATTCATACATGAATTTGCTTTTTATTTTTAGAAGAATGTTCGACAATTTAAGCAGCCTAATTACAGGCCCCCAGCATTTCCTAGTTAATCCATTATTAATCTATTCAATCAATTTCTGGAATAACACGCACAAGACCCCCTGGGAGGAATAATTGAAATGGAGAAGTGCAAGGGGATTTCTGGTAATCAGCTGTTTGCATAAGCTATCTTTGCTCTCTTTTCAATTTACTTTGAATCTCATGCAATAACAAAGCACCCAGCTTAAACCGGTCCGCCGAGCAACCGGTTAGAACCGCTCGGTATCAGTTAACTCCAGGCCAGGGAAATAAAAGTGCAATGCACTGGATGGAAGAAGGTAAACAGAGAGTGCGATCTGCAGTCAGGGATTAAAAATATTATATTTGTCCGGTGAATATTAATTGGACTAAATCACTGGACGAGAACCACTTACGAACGATGTCAGTGTCTGCGGAAATATTAATTAAAGCCACTTAAGATCGCCAGCAATCGTAAATAATCGTGAATTCTACGAGTATGAATAATTTCAAGAGTGCCCGCAAATAGAACGAATGTGGGTCGCAGCCGGCGACCAACTAAACCAAACTAAACGACTCGAGAGCCGCCAGTTCAGTTTATTTTCTGAGCTCTGTTTGCAGTGCTCTCGGGATTGTTATATTGACAAAACTGCTAAAACTGCAAACTGCAGCCTGACCTTGAGTCATGGCTAACCAGAAACGAAGTTAAATTACCGACTACCTTTATTTTGGGTCTAAATTATTTCGAAATGCTCTATTTTGGGGGTTTTGTTTATGGATTTTTTTTATAAAGTTCTAATGGGGAAACTGTACTGTCTTACTGTTAGTAACCAGTAGATAGTTTAAGTTTTTTAATGAATTCTTGTAAGCAGAATGCTGTGTATATCTTTGATTGATGCTGATGATGATGTAATGCGAAATGGGAGCTAGGCGAAAGGCTTTGAATATAATTCACATATAATTTAAACACTTAATTGTTCCTTCTGGTGGCGAGATCAAATCAAATGCAAAGTGCCATAAGTACAAATAAAGTCAAGAAAAATGTAACTAAAACAGAAGCTCACAACAATGGCAACAACCACGAACAATCAAAGGCAAGAAAAGCAAAAAACAAACATTTCGGGTAGACATGCAATCGCAATTAAGCTCCAGGGGTTAAGGAAGCGGGGTGGCAAAGGCAGAAGGGAGCTTCATGTTCGGTGTTTAAGTGAACTACACAGAGAATAAGGGGTTATCTATATAAAAACAGCTAGCCCTAAAATGATTTTTTTATTGACCCTTTCCAAAGAAATTTCGATTTAATTAACTATAAATAGAAATATAAAACTCAAGTAATATTTGTGCAAGTACCGAAGATATAAGTCACGTATAAGTCGATAAACTATTAATTTGTATGCTCATAAAACACTTATTCAGAAAGGTATATTTTGTAAGCCTTTCTTAAATACATTTTAGTTTAGAAAAGAATTTATTGATTTAAAGTCAAATTATAATTAAAGTAAAAAATTCTTAATTGGTTTCTTATCATTTGCATGACTTATAAATTTTAAAATATATTTTATTGATAATTTTTAACAATTAAGATATTACAAGAAAGTCAAATTAGGGATAATCTCTTTTTAAAATTTTTTTCCCTTTAATCGATTTAAGACTTGTAAAAACCCAGTTCTCTGTGTAGAATTTTGTGGGTCATTTTGGTGGTTCAGTGGTTGAGTGCGACAGTGGGTGTTTTGTGGACGTGCTAAAATAGGGGTCATAGATCCGGGCGAAGTGGTGATTGAGATTAGTTGGCGGAGAGCTCACCGTCGCGTCGCCCGGAGTAAGGAGGCGAAGAGATGACCCCGGCTGGGTGGACTTACCTGGAGCCGCCAACGATGACCGGCAGTCGCTCCGATCGGAGCAGCTCCTCGCTGTCGTTGGGCGAGGACTTGATGGCATGGCCAATCGCCCGCTTCACGCTCTCGAAGACGGAGGGCGGTGCTGTGGGCTCTGTGGTCGACTGATAGATGGCACCGCCATTGCCATTGACGGCCGGCAGCGATACATAGCCGCCCTCTGACTGTGGCATGCTTTACGTTCTTTGACTTTTTTATCGGCTTATATTATATATCTTTTCGGCTTTACTTAAATTTCGAATTTTCGTACTTAGCCTGCTTTGGTTTTGCTGATATTAATAACTGAAACTTCCACTGTGCATGCAAGTGTCGGTGTGTGGGTGCGTGTTTTTTGTCGATTTTTGTATTAACAATGCTTTTGATTCATCAGCGTCGAGGTGTGTAATGTTATAGCCGGCAGACAGACAGACAAATACAAAGAGCATTTCGTTGATATCATATAAATATATATATATATATTGGTTGGGCAGCAGCAGCGCATCAACGGAGTCACAACGTCACAAAACATAAATCATATAAAAATAAAGAAGAAGAAGTGTACACAAAATTATAATAACAAAAGCAAAAATAATGATGATGAGATCGGAGTCATACGAAAACCAGATTTCCGGGATCACCAAATGATGAACATGGTTACATAGAAGTAAGCCACTACAGTGAGGCGTTGATATTACAAAATTGGCACCAAAATGTAGTTAGTAAGATTTCACGTCAAAGGTAGTCATATAATAAAGCCAGCAATTTTGGATTTAAAGGTTTAAATTAGTTAATAAACAAAGAGCAACAAGAGTTAAACCATCGCTGTAACCAAATATAGACAGCAAAAATTATAAAATTTTAAAAATATAGATCTCCATTGAAACGAAATATGTTTTATAGAAAATTAAACCAGTTTTGTTAGCTAAATCAAAGCAAGGAACCAAATTGTGTTATATAAAATGTTTCAGTTGAAATGGTGCTTGTGTTCTATTTAGCATAATTTGATTGTGTTGGTCGTTAAAAAATATTTTATTTAGAAATGACTTGCTTTAAAGGACAATCAATCAATAATGTAAAATATTTTAAAGAATTAAAGCACCGTACATTAAAATAGTCCAAATAAATCATTCTCATTGTTTTATAACCATTAAACTTTAACCTCCTATGAAAATGTTCTTTAATAACAAAGGTGACCTCAGACTTTCAAAATTACATTAACATTGGGTTGAAAAACCCTTTGAATATTCCACCTCCTATCCTTTAAATACCCTCATTATAAGTGTTCCTTAATATTGATTATTTCTAGGTCGTTTGCATGTGGTAAAGCTTTAAATTGGTAACGAAATTATATAATTTTAAACATTTCGTGTTTTTAATGTTTCTTTAAGAACCGGACCTTAAAATCTTCCAAATTTCAATACCGCAGCCCCCATTCGCCAGCATTACCCAAGTGCTACTGCACGGGGGAACTGAGCTTGGGCGTCAATGTTCGTACTTGAAACAAAATATGCAGGCCAAGCCGCAAGAGGGAAGGGTGTGGAAGTGGGATTGTGGCACAGAGAGACTGCAGCAACCCCCGAACCTTCCCCTCAGCCACCAATCTAGCACATATGCATTACATTAACCCAGTTTGGGCCAAGGGTTGAGGCCTGCTCTCCACGTGCCCTGGCTTAAAGCCAAAGTGGAACAGAGGCATGAAAATTTCACACATGCCCTAGGAGGCCAAACTATGTTTTTTTTTCTTTTTGGAGCTGATTAAGTTCGTCATGAGGTTGAAATTTATCAACTAATAATCACCGGACACAGCAACAAAGCAAATGCAAACGCTTCACCCACTCCAAAGCTATGACGCAGCCCCAGATACAGATAAATATATATTATATAGTGGACAATGTGTAACTGTATAAATTCAAACAACAAATAAAACAAAACTCGTTATGGCTACTATTTTTTTGCGTCTTAGGTTTTAGAACCCAGTCAAGCTAAGCAATTTGAATTCTTTTTAAACCTGGGACCCCAGTGCGTATGATAGATGAGCCACCAGAGAAAACATGCAGAAAAGAAAAAAATATAAAACAGGTTATTTTGGGGCGGGGTACGAGTGATTTTAGAGTTTTATTATACAGAAGCCAACGACTTAAGTATTTTATTGCTCATTTAGCTGCAATATTATCTGCATAATTTGGCCATTTGAACTGAAAGAAAACTTTAGTCATAAAAGCAAGACTCTAAAAATGAAGGGAAAAGCAAAAAGATTGACTTGATAATTGTACGATGCATTGCTGATGGTTTCTTGCTATCTTATCTTATTATCTGGGATTCAGACAAGGTTCTTGACTCTATGATTTCTGTAGTCACATCTCTTTGCATTATCACATTATCTTCTTATATGAAGATAACTAAGGCAAATAAAATCATATCAAGCAAACCCCATCTAATATTTTATCAAGATTCTTTAGTGTTCAAAGTTTACTTAATACTTCTTTAATACCCATATCTTCAATTAAAATACATGAGACCAATGATTGCTTTCAGCTGTTTAAACAATCCTTATTTTATGACTTTATCTTTTGGACAACCAATAATTCATTCAAAACCTTTTACCTATTCATAAAAAAAATTCATATTAAGAAAAAACTATGTTTTGCATTCTTTTAAACATTTTGATATTTTAAATGGAGTTTTATAATTTTTTAAGGATTTTAAAGATTACAAGTTTTATTTAATACCCATATCTTCAATTAAAATACATGAGACCAATGATTGCTTTCAGCTGTTTAAACAATCCTTATTTTATGACTTTATCTTTTGGACAACCAATAATTCATTCAAAACCTTTTACCTATTTAATCTTGACCATTTTGTAAAATGACCACAGTTAAAACATAATTATGAACATTTACACCAATTTAGCAAAGTAGAATAAAAATAATTAAATAATCCCTAAGAACATTTAATGCGATACCACTAATTGTATTTGTTGCAATTTTGGTAATTTATTTCTTTAGTTTATAATCCAGAATATGGTGCTTGTCGACTTAAATGACACCGCATATAAAGTTCCTATGTCTATAGGCAGTTCGGTTGTTCCGTCGCCATCCTCCACCTAGAAAAAGCTGTTATTCGGGCTCAACTTTGACCTTTTGCTAAGCGATTTATGGGCGCTGATAAAGTTGCGATTGCACTTTTCACCTCGGCCACACGAAATGATATAATGGCACTAGCGCCATATTCAGATATATACTGTAGCTGGAATTACAATAGAGTATTGGGCGCAAACGATTTATCAGCGGCATCTGGGGCACTTCAATTCCAATAATTGCAGACCAGCGTGTGCCATTTATGGAGAATTATTCATAATTACGATTGCACGTGAAGAGGAGCTTGAGGTGCGAGGAGAAAAGGCATTGAAATTAGCAACTGGCTAGAGGGAGACAGCGAAAGAGAATGACGTGCCTTGGCTTTTCCTACTTGTTTTTCCGGCCTGCGCCAAAGGAGCACACGGAATATCGACAATTTGGCAGGTAGCCCACGGCAACCGTTGGCAGGTCAACGGACAACAACAAACTAAGCGACTAAGACGAACTTTCCTCTACCCAATCTACTGAGCAGTGTTCTAAGTGAAGAGTCAATACTATTTCGGGCTTTCATTTTTTCGCAGCATAAATAATTTAAATTTTTCTGTAGTTAAAGTGTATCTAACTTAAAAACAATTGGGAACATTCGTTTATTTCGTATTATAAATTTAACAACACATTTCTCAAAAGAAAAAGCAGCCAAACGACTATTTAATTACAAAAAATTTAAAATAACTTAACTTTTAGATACTGGTATTTTAGTATACTTTGATAAATGTAGAGATGGGAGTAAATTGTAAGGACTAGTTTTTAAGCTTCCAAATACTTGGCAAGAATGTTTCAACAAAAGTCGAATAAGAGTTTTCAAATTCTTTTGGAAGTGGCCAAAAATGACTTCCTCTCTACCAATAAAAATACTTTTCCAACTATTGTATTGACTGCAATTTGTCCGAGCTTTTCAAGGATATCGCCTCCAGTTGAGACGAATTTGCAAAACAGAAATTATTCAAATGTTCTTTGGGGGGGTCGGAGATACCTGAGGGGGCGTGGCTGGTGGCAGGGGATCAGAGGTTATGGGGCAGCGACAACGGCAGCAAATCACATAAAGGAAATGTCACGCTATGTCAGGCCGCAGGCCAACAAAAAATACAGCAGAAACGAACAAAATCACACGCTCAACGTCAGAATGTTGTTGCAGGATATGGTAGAATATCTGTAGGGTGTGGGGGCGTGGCAAGGTGGTGGGCGGTGGTCGGTGCAGGTTGCCCTACTGTTACGTGTTTGCAATCGATTTGAAAGTTACATAAAAACAGAGCCACAGACCAAGGGCAAAAAGGGAAAAGAAGGCAAGAGAAGTTGGTAAACACCTGAGTGGCCAACAAAAGCAGCAACAAGGCGCCAAAAGCAATTTGTGAGCTAAACTTTTCATTGTGTTTGTTTTTTGGGTAAACTGACCTACGCATTAAATATGCAGGAAAGTTAAACATCAGATATAGGTATATATAAATGGCAGACGAAACGAAATGCTGGCGATGGCGCCGACAGGTTACAGTAGAGCCATCAAAGAAAAATCCCCACCCATTCATTTCCACACCCAGAAGCCGCCAAGAGCAATAAAAATTTCCCAAACAGCAAATAACAAATGAACGAACAGTAAATACTGCCAATAGGATAACCAATTACAGCACCTGTTAAGGATAACAGTCAAGTCGTTCGTATAGAGCCACACTTTTTTTTTTGTATTCAAGTTAGAAAATTGGTCAATCAAGAAAACATTTTACTTAATCTTACCTAGAAAGTTTAGGCTATATTTTAGGAGCTTCGCTCCACCTATTTTGTAATTTGGTAATATCGGTAGTTAGTTAACAAAACCAATTTACACAATATCACAATTACACAATACATTTTGCAACATTTATAATTGTTTTTATGCATCATTAATGATAATGATTCATCGAAATTCATATTAAGAAAAAACTATGTTTTGCATTCTTGTAAACATTTTGATATTTTAAATGGAGTTTTATAATTTTTTTGAGGATTTTAAAGATTACAAGTTTTATTTAATTTAAATAACAATGTAGGAAAAGTTATAAATTGGGGATTGCTCAAATGAGAATACCTTTTGCTTAAGTTAGGCTAGCCTTAACAAGTTTTCAAACTTTTCCCACCTAAACTAATAACTAATGTGTATTGCACAATTTTGTACTGTCATAATAACTTTCCCGGGCTCCAACTCTAAAGCTTCACTGTGGCAGCTGCTGAATGATTGCGGCGAAGTTTTCTGGAGGTCGTTTAGAGTCGAAAAGCGCCAGCTCCGAGAGAGGGAGAGAGAGTGACAGGGAGGGGAGGGGGAGAGAAGGAGCATTACGTCAGAGCCAGAAGCCATTTGGGGCTTGTCAAAATTAGCAGGCAGGAACAGTGAGGAAAACCCAACGAAGCCAAAGCCAAAACACACAAAAAAGAACGAATAAAAACGAACATAATAAATGGATGAATTAGTAAAGATATGACAAGCAACTACAACAACATGCATACAACAACTAACTGTTAACGAAGTAAAAGAAGAGTGCGCAAAATATATTCGTAGTAGTGCTAATTGGAAAACAGATACTTGGATGCAAATGAAAAGTTTAGATGAGGCAGTGTGTTTTCTTTTCATATTCTTTTTAATGGGGGCGAGCGGAGAGAGAGTGAGAGAGATGATAAGACAGAGAGAGAAGGGGAAAAGTAGTAGAGAACTGCAACAAAACAAATGCAAGTGGACGGAGAATTATAACTGGTTAAAATTATAGTTATGATCCCCGGCCCTCTCCGTCCCATCGTCGAAATTGTAATTTGTTTTGTTGCTGTTTTGTACTTGTATGTGTGTTAATTGTGCCCGCTGTGTGTGGGAGTGTGTGTGTGCGTGGTTGGATATGAAAACTCACCTGACGCTTTCCGTTCTTTTTCCTCTCTTCTTCTTCTGCGGGTCTCAAAAACGAGATAAAAACTACTACCGCTCTTCTCTTGCCTGTTTTTCAGTTATCAAAAGAGACCGTTTTTAACTACACACCAACTATAACAACAACGACGGGTCTATGAAAAAATCAATATTCGGTCTCGGTCAAATTTTTTCTTCAGCTTTTCTTTTACAACTTGTGTAATTTGTGTGCTCGTTCTAATTCGTTCACTTATTCTCTCGCTCTCGCGCGCACGCACTCACACACACGCCCGCTTTTCGCGATTGCCAGTTATATTAATATTTGGGGATCAATTTCTTGTAATTCCTCCTGCTGCTTTCAAGTCTTTAATCTCGGTCGAAGTTGCAACGAAAATGTAAAGTGTGACCGAAGCTGGGGCAAAAAGAAATAACATCAGTGTGACCGATTCTAAACTAATCAAGAGTAAAATCCTTCTTAAAATATACCAAAAAAAGGCATAAATTTACATTTTGTTTAAACAGTACATATACACGTAAGGTTACAAATTCTTATATTTACGTGCATTTTTAATGTACCGAAAATATATCTGAGGTAAAAATTACTGTATATTGATATTGTAATATAACCCCTGAAACAATCAAATTTATTTTTAAGTGTACAAAACAAAAAAAAACATTTTGGTATATTTAGTCTTTTTAGCCTCGGTCCCTTTAAACAGCTGATGGTGGCACCATCGATATTTTCTAATTTTGTATTGTATTGTAAAATTAATATATTTTTAAATTATATTATTTAAAAAAAACATGTATTTAACTATTTAAATTACAAAACTTGCTTGTTCAACTCAAGAAAAGTAGCGGTGGTGCAACTGGCTCCTAACCATCGATACTTTGGATAGTGCCATCGATAGTTTTAAGCAGACGTGAAAAATTCAAGACTGCAAGAGTTGTTTTGAATTAACTATTGAGGTTTATACAGCATTTTAATCCATTAACTGCTGGAATACCGAATGACGAAACACCAAAAGGGGAATTCGGATGCAAACGAAAAAAAAATCACTCAAGCAAGTTCAAATTTTCATTAAACACGTGCCGAAATTCCTTGTACTTATTGTTAAACCCTATGCAGCTATGCCGCGATGCTACCGGAAAGCTCTCGAATTGGCCAAACTCAGTGCCAAACTAAAGAGCAAAACCAGTGATAATGATTCCAATTCCGATGTCGACTTTTTGGGTGATGAAGATACCGAGAATGGACTAGAGCCGCATAAACGCCTGACTCTGGAAAACCTACCGCATTACTCCAATCCGGCTGTGAACACTGGAACGCTGGGTCAAATACTTCACCAACTTGACGAGGATGAGGCGCAGGACTTTCCCAGCTGTTCGGTCACAGTGCCACTCCCCCTTTTCTTGGCCCAAGATGGACAGACTCCTCGCCTGGAAGCCTGCGTCCAAAGATGCCATGCCTACGATGAATGGGCGCGTCAAATGCTGGCATATAAAGCTAGTTTCGATAAGGGCACCAAAAGTATGCGACAGCGGGAAAAGAAGCAGGAGCAAAATATATACGATGTGAGTCTGTTTGAGATGGCCGAGCATATCGCCCGGCAAGAAAACGCCTTTTTCCGGGACAGCTACGATTACTACTACACAGGCGGAAATCTCAACACGTTGACATTTGAAAAAGGGGTCGACCTAGCAATGCATGTTAGTGGTGATAAGCTGAGGAATCTGCACATTTCAGAGATTAATTCTGAGGCAGAGTTGTGGCATCCACTGCATTCGGCTAAAATGGATGAAACCTCTAGCGAACTCTTTGAACTCCTTCCCCTGGACAGTTGGCGAGGTAATAACAGTCATATGCTCCTGGCGCGCTTTCTAAACGAAGTGTCCTTGTATGAACTGAAACGGAAAGAGGATCTGGAATCCGAAGACTATGAACTCCTTTGCCAGAGCAAGTTTAGCAGTAAAGAAATTCCGTTTGTTAGTGCCGCACAATCATTGGGTAATGCCAATACCTTGGCCTTAGCTTACCAAGATCGCTCATTACGCTTCCTGGATATTGTGACCCAACAGGATATAGCCAAACATGATGTTTGTTTATTCAAAGGACTGAAACAAAACACTAGTACCTGGGCTCAGCTAATGCCAGCAGATGGTAGTGCCTTTCACTATATCTCACAGCCTGTTCTGTTCACTGTGGATGTCAGATGTGATCAGCCACTGAATCCTTGCTTCGCCAGTAGCGTTTACTCGAAAAACTGCGAGACTTTCTCTTGCTTGGCCAAAAGTTCGAATCCGAATCTTCTGTACGTGGCTAGTAATCACAAACTCCACTGTTTGGACATAAGATGTTTGGGTAAGAAACTGGCCGACCGTTCTGTGGTTACTTGGAACCATCAGATGACCTATCCACCCACTTTTATGGACACTTGCTCTTACGACGGCAGCGAATATATTGCTCTAGCTGGAGCTCTGCCCACGGATCAGCGTATTTGTCAGCTAAAGGGACATCTGGCCAAGAGTGTGGATGAAATGTTCTCGCCTGCAATCCCATTTGCTCCTCCGAGCTTAGAAGAAGCTTTAATAGATGCTCGATTGAGAGGTTTTGTGGATGTCTATGCTGATCTTACAGAACGAGTGAAAACCTGCATAACAGGACTGCGCTTTCATCGATTGGAGGAGACTAGTGATCAAGCTTTCGCCCAGCTCTTAACCGCCAACAGCTTAGGTGATGTCTACTGCCAAAGACTAAACCTTAGAGACGAAGAGGAATATGAGCAGGAGATCAGAACCGGACTCCATACCACGGAGGCTATCCGCTACTATGCGAACCTTGTTCACGAGCGCGTGCAACGCCAAACCCTCCGATGCACAGAAGTCCAGTCAATGCCTGAAATAAGAGACATTTTTCGGGAAGGCGCCAAGAGATCCCAACCAGATGAAAAACCTGTTATCGTAGAAGAAATCGAAATAGACTATGGTATAGAGGACACAGAGGTTTCAGATAATGAAAGCCAAAGCTCCCAAGAGCCAAAAACGACGAAACCTAAAAGCAAGGTTAAGGAGAAACCCGGAAAGAAAACAAAGAAAAAACTAAAACGGAAAACCAAAAAACAAAAATCGACTAAACCGAATTTTAGAAAGCACAAGGGCATCAATCGTGGATCCTGGCAAAAGTCAGCTTACCAGTTGTCTCACTACAAGGACAAGTTTTCGCTCGGATTGCTGGATGTGTGGGATATGGAGGAGTACGATAACACAAGAGATGTCAACAGAGACATGTTGCAGGAGCGATTGCAGGAAAAGCAACTGGAGCCGGAACATCGCATGACCAGTTGGTTGAACCAATTGCCCAGCCATCCAGAGGACCAGGAGGAGACGGAGGGAAATCCCGATCTGGTGCCGGGAACAAATCTTCCCAAGCTATATGGCGCCGTTGCAGCAGACTACTCGGAAGTTTTAGTCCTTGACACTAATGGGCATATTAAAGAGCCACCATTTAGTCCCAAAAAAGAATCGTCTTTCAGCTTAAGACACGAGCATTCCGTCTTACTGCCTGGACAGAACACGATTATCGAGTGCGATTTCAATCCCACCCCCGCTAAGAGGCCCAAAATTAAACATACCAAGGGATTCTAGCTTAAGTTTAAGTGTACCAGATTAATTTTAAAATTTACTTACAACATACATTTTAAATTCTAAAATCTGCAAAAACATCCAGAAATAAAATATAGAAATATTTTGTAACCATTTGAATTTACTTTCTGCACGTGTCCGCCGCCATAGGGTCATTTATATAAGAACAGCCACCAAAACTACAAACTTGCCTATCCCTTAAACATTGTTGATTATTATGTAAGTAATCAATAAAATGTACTCGCCATGTTCGATTAATGCCACTGATTGTGGATATATCCCCTTCCAGATCGGGTTCGTAGGCTGGATTCACAATGCCTACGATCGCCTCGACCACAAAACGATCGTTTCTGCGTTTAAGGGCGTATCCTATAGATCTGTTGGTCATATTGGTTTTATGCTGATCTTCTTGCAGCATTATATTTTGCCTTTTTTTCTTGATCACCACACTACCGATTTGAGAACACCACTGATTTCGACTGATTTTCAATTAATTTGGGCAGTTTGCGTTTATTTGATTCAATTTATCTATCGCTCGTCGCCGCTCAGTGGGGCGTAAAACGATCCAAGGGTGGCACTTCCATAGGAGTGCCCATAGATAGAATACATAGTATAGCATGAGCTAAGCTCAGTCAATATCTATTCAAAGCTTATCTAAACCAAAACACAGCTCGAAATGGAAAAACGTTTTGGCGAACTGTGGGAAGATATTTTAATCTTATTTAAAAGAAACGCTGATTTTATGAACATTTTAGAAGCTCATTCTTAGTAAGTTTATTATTGTAGGTGCTAACAACTATAGCTATAGGAACAACTGAGGAACCGCAAACATTAAACAGCTCGTATCATTGGGTAACAGGTTCGCTTCCATCCAATTATGGACAAATTTTTAAGAGCACGTATTAGTATTTATTAATTTTTATATTAGTGTTTATAATTCTACTCAATTTTAAAGAAATTTAAAGAGTATATATACAAATTATGAATTTGAGATGCCGTTTTACAAATTAATATGGCTTCCATATCAGATATACTATGTATACTTTAGGGCCCAAATACTTCAGACTAAAATTATAATATAAATTAAATGATAAGGGAAAATATGCAATCTCGAGTTATATTAATATTGCTTCATTTTTCAAACGAAACCATAAAATGTGTTATTCTGCTTTTGACCTTTTTATACCCTTGCAGGGGGTATTATAATTTTGGTCAGAAGTTTGTAACGCAGTGAAGGAGAGGTTTCCGACCCCATAAAGTAAATATATTCTTGATCAGGATCAATAGGCGAGTCGATAAAGCCATGTCCGTCTGTCCGTCTGTTTTAATACCGTTTGCGAGCTTAGTTTAAAAGCTAGCAATCTGAAACTTTCACAGCCGTCTTAAATTATGTGCGCCAAGATCGGACTTCCTTATCCTTGCAAGAATTGAAGATATTTCGTGCAGTGAAATGCATCTTTTCAAATCTTATTTTTTTATGCATAGCTTGATCAGGGTAAAAGCGTGTGCCGATCGGACGTCTATATCCTATAGCTCCCATAGGAACAATAGGGTGAAATCGGTTACAATTTTATGTTTTTTAATTTCGATATTTCGCGCAGTATATAAGCTATTGAGATGAATCTTTCCAAATCTTATTTGTTTATGCATACCTTGATCAGGGCAAAAGGGCGTACCGTACTATAGCTTTTATAGGAATAATTGTTAAAAGCTGTGAAAATATCCCTTTTTTCCTATTTTTATATGTCTGCAAGGGTATTAAAACTTCGGCTTGCCGAAGTTAGCTTCCGTCCTCGTTAAACTTAATGTTATTTTCAAGAAGGTGCTGATAAGGCATTCTCTTTAGCTATGCATTCAAGAGGCTTCTCATTCGGTATTCGCCATAAGATGAAGGACGTAATAGCGGGAATCGCGGTTATAGCTTTCCTATTTCTAAAGACTAAAGAGGTATCGGCAGACCTGCTCGAACCGAAATGCGTAAGGAGCGGCGTAGGTCCGAGAATCGAAGGAGGTGAAAGAGCACAAATGTTCTCTAGTCCTTGGATGGTGCTGGTACGCAGTCGCTTATTTTGTGGCGGCACGCTCATTACCTCACGTAAGTATTTGAGTTTAGTTACCGATTTAGTTTTTGTTAAGAGGAAATTTTTTAAATATTTTGCAGGTTTTGTTTTGACGGCAGCGCATTGCATAACCAATGATTATACGTATGTGCATCAGTTGTATTTTCCCCTAGATATCCCAATACTTCTATTTGCAGGACGGTGCGCTTAGGCGAATATGCCCTTAATAACACTGGGTTATATTGTATTAATAATGAATGCATACCAAAAGCCAATGAAATTGAAGTTGACTGGAAAATTGTTCACGCAGGGTACAATGCTGAAAACGTAATAAATGATATAGCCCTACTGCGAATGGGCAGAGAGGTGCAATTCACATGTAACTAAATGGGATAGCCAACAAGGACCTTCTGAACTAAATATCTTTTGTTTTTAGTATTTGTCAAGCCAATCTGCCTCCTCGTTAATGAGCACATGGAAACCGTTTCACAATTTAACATCACCGGCTGGGGTCAAACAGAAAACGCTAAATTCAGCCATATTCTTAAGACCGCCGTTGTACATAACGTCGATCTTTGGTTTTGCAGCACAAAGTATAATTCGTCGATTTATCAATCCCAAATATGTGCCGGTAGTGACACCAGTGACGCTTGTATCGGAGACTCTGGAGGTCCATTAAGCGCAGACATAAATTACAATGGATTAGTTATTCCCCTCCAGTTTGGTATTGTCAGCTATGGATCTGATAACTGCAACAGCTTTTCTGTTTACACAAAAGTATCAAATTACATGGACTGGATCGTGGATGCTATACAACACTATGGTGTTATTTAAAGTCAGAAGTAACGTTTAAAGCTTTTAAATATTTCGAGGAGTAAACCATTTTGGTTTGAAAAGTAAATAAAAATGTTTTCAAAATGTATTCCTAATTAAATTTTAATAAATATTCCTAGAATCTGTTCTCCAATCATTTATTTAGCAACTTCTTTTAAGCTCCACCCATTAATAAAACAAGCGCCTGCGCCTTCGGAACTGTGGGCGGGCCAATATGTTTCAGCAACCTTGTAGCCGAAACGTTACCAGCAACATGCTGGCAAGTGCGAATCCTTTGTCGCAATTTCCGTTCAGTTAAATTAAAAAAATTGTTCGAGCAGGTTGTGAGCTCTCCGTGTTCCATATATTTTTCGTTTTTGGTTAACGTTTTTTCAACGAACTTTAAAAACATAAAACTTCATTAACTCTCTGGATTATATTTCGGTGTTTAAGTTCCCTGTAAGTTTTATAAAAGTAAAAATATATATAACAATATAATAAATATATAAATCTCTAAACATTTTCAATAAGATGAGAAAAAACATTTTCGTTTAAAAAAAGTCTAAGTAACGAATAGTTTTTTTTACATTTGTTTAAAAGAATATTTATCAAAATTATTATTATTATTTTTTTTTTATATGTTGTTCAGTACATTTGTAGCTATAGCTCGTACCTCGTACTACTTCTCATTTGTGTCGGTCCACTGATAAAAAGAAACCTATTTTCGATGAGGTTATAGGTTATCTTTCAATGTGGAATAATATTTTCCTTGATAGGGATTTTAGGTCGAAACTGTTTTTTTATTACCAGCATCACGATAAGAAAACTATATCTGTTATCCACTGTAACCAGAGAGTTCTCTCTGTTTCTTTATCCAGTGGATCCCGCCCCTGGGCAAGAGCAAAACAAGTCACTTACGAATACGTGGACAAGTGCACTCTCTCACTCTCTTTCTCTGCCCGACAGTGAAATGCTCATCATCTCTCTCACCTACACAGCGACACGAAATCGATCTTTTACTCTCTTTCCAGCTCTCCCACGTGTGATTAAAGATGGGGATCCCCCCCCACTATCACTCTCCCTCTCTGTGTTGTCGTGTTCTCTTCAAAGATTTACTCTTTTTAATATATAGGTGCACTAAAACAAATGTTATGGAAAAATAGTATTGCTCTGAATATAAATATTTTTCTTCAAATTTCTTTCTCTTCAAAGGTTTACTCTTTTTTAATATATAGGTGCACTAAAACAAATGTTATGGAACAATGGTATTGCTCTGAATATAAATATTTTCCTTTATCTTTATATTTTTTAAATATTTTCTTATATGTGGCTGCTGTTGTCCTTATATTTTTTTAATATGTTTTTTTCGATTTAAGCTTAGAACAGTTTTCTAAACCATGTAGAACATTTTAAGCCGTGGGTAAAAATAATTTTTGGATTATGGAAAAAGTAACACATGTTCTCAGAAGTTAAATAGTGGCCAACCGGCGTTTTTAAAGTAAAATTTATATAAGTTTAACTCAATTTTAAAAAAGCTTAAAATGAAAATACAAGAAAATGAAATTCACAATATAATTTTCGTTGTTCAAAAAAAGGACTTTAGGCCGATTTTTTTGAGTGTCGAGTCGAGAGTAGTAAAACAACGTCTGCAGCGACGCTTCCAGCATTTCTCTGCCGCACTTCGATCGAAACGGACGTATTTTCACTTCTCTCGCCGTTTGCACGCGTGTTTTTGTTGTTCGTCCATCGCATCCGCCCCCGCCCTTCCGCCGCAAGCAAGTGATATCCGTCTGTGGAAGACAAAAGGTATAATGCAAACATCAGATCAAAAATCGTGTGTTTGGTTTAGAGTAAATATCTACAAAATGTGCTCATTAAGAAATGAAATCCGAGAAATCGAAAGAAAGCGTGTACTTTGCCATTGCTGTCGTGTCTCTTTCATTCATATTCAGTCCACGCATACATATACGCCCCAAGAAAACTGAACAAAAAGAGGGGAAAAAGAGAGCTTATCGCTTCAAGTCCATAAAAATAAAAATATTGCCGGGCGGTTTCTAGTACAAGTTATTGTTGTTGTTCGACTAATCACGATCGGTTTGATAATTAGCATTTCTTATTCGGAAAAGAAGAAAAACTCCTGACGTGTCGCTTTGGGCAAGGTTTTCCGAAACATTTAGCGCGGGTCTGTGAATTGGAACTCTTACGGTACACTTCGTACTGCCAGTTCACTGAACCTTTCATAAAACCCATACAAAAAAGTTAAAACAAAAAAGATACGTTTGAAAAAGAAGAAGCTGGATCGCCTCAACAGGTTTTAAGTCCAAAAAATGGTCTCTCGCTACGGTGAACCCATGTAGGCCGAATTTTAAATGTAGATATTCGGATACAATAAAATTTGAATCAATTACCAGAAGCATGCGTAACTATTATTCATAATTTTTCATTTAGACGTATCTTTCTGCACTATTGTTTTTATTTTGTAAGTAAAAATAATTGGCATTTATCATATTAAATAATTTAAATACAATGAGGTCTGTCGGTACTTAAGGATTCATTAAATTTTTTCTTTTTAAAGTCTTTACTGTGTAAAGAAAAAGAAGCAAACAAAAAAAACAAAAGAGAGCAGTCGAAGAGGAAGATCGAGAGATGTTAATGTCGATTTCACGTATGTAATTGAGGCTTGACCATTGCCTTTCCATTAGTGAAAGTTTTCCAACTATATTAAGTCCAACCATATTTTATTTTTTTTGCGGCTATTTGAATTTTTTTGTTTTTTTTTATATGGGTGACCTAGGCGCTTTCAAAACTTTCATTTGACCAGAAACACCCACCAACATCCCATTGGAATTTACCACGGTGGTCATTACGCATACGCCACCATGTACGCGCAATAATTTCGTTTTTGGCTTTGGTTTTGGCTTGCATAATCCCCTCCAGCTGGTTAAGATGGTCAAATCTGGTTGGTCGAAATCAGCACCCCACTCTGCAATGAATTGCACATTTGCATAATGACTAATTTTTGCCGTTCGCGCATCCCATTCGCAATCGCTGCTCCTCTTCATCCATTCAATTTCAACTTTACACTGTTGAGCAAAAATGTGTTACACCTTTCCGGGTAATTGGTTCAAATTCAACATTTAACGCTTGTGCAACGCTTTTATAATGATTACGGCGAAGATGATGGGCAGCAGATGATAGTAAATATGAATCTGGATGTATAAAAGTGGTGAACATCAGACCAAGGCTAGCATTGTTTGTTTGGCTTAGTTTCGAGTTAGTGGGTATCGTAATTTTACTTTCCATATGGATATACACTTTGGTTAAACACTAAAGATCAAGGCTTATGCCAGTTATTTATGGCTCATTATTAGGTTCTAAGTAATTTATTAATGGTCTGATAAGCAAGCCTTTAGCTTTATATGCTAAATCTAAATATTAATTTCAAATAGGGATATAATTTATGATACTATGTTCATTATATACAAGTATTTTTTTATAGAATAGTCTCTTATCTGAATGACAAGGCATCGTGCTATTTGAAAGTATTTATTGAAATAATAATGTTTATCAAAACTAAATGCGTATATACTTAGAGCAAAAAAACCTTAATAGTTTATTTTTAATAAAGTTTTTTTTAGTTTTTCGATTTCAAAAACATTTTTACAGTTTCCCGTGAAAGTAATGGTTTGCAAAGTATTGTTAACCAAACGTATTAGGCCTTCGAGTCATTTACACAACTTGTAGTGAAGTGTTTAAACACGTTCTTCTTTTTTCGAAAGTCTCAAAAATTGTTGTTAATAAAGTTTCCTTATTTATCTTGCAGCCATGTTGAAATCCATTCTCGTTTTGTCGTGCCTTCTGGTGGTGGCCATCAACCATGTCAGCGGCGAGGATCTCAAAGTGGAGGTGATCAGTACCCCGGAGGTGTGTGAACAAAAGTCCAAGTCCGGCGATTCCCTAACCATGCACTACACTGGAACCCTGCAGGCCGATGGAAAGAAGTTCGACTCAAGGTGAGTTTTGAAATATTAAATACAACCTATATAAGTGAGAATCACTGTGGTAAACCAGATAGGAGTTTTCCTCATTTCACACACTAGAACTTTAGCTTCCTATTTCCAAGGATATTTTTATTATTAAATTGTTTTGTTTTGTCATCAAAAAGTGCTACCTAAAATTGTCGCATTGCATCATATCATGCAAGTGAGCGGCTTGCTAGTTAAATTTAATTACTTTTCTACATTACCAAAAATTCCGGTGAAATGTCAGAGTTCAGAATGAAATATTTTTAAAGCCGATTTCGACCGTAATCGCCACACGCACACACTCACTTCCATTGGAGATTAACATACTCGCAGATACATGTGTTTTCCGTATGGGATTAAAGCTGCTGGTGCTGCATAGTCAGTCTGTCGTCACGGCGGCTCATTGCCGTAAATTAGACGCCAACTGATAAGCGATCTCATTGTTGCATTGTCGCTGCTGTTGTTTTTTGTTTTTGTTGCCGGTGCTTCTGGTGCATTTTCCATGCCTGAATGCGCCCCTTCTTCTTGCATCCCATCTCAATCTCAGTTTTCCAGCTTTTTGTTTCGATTTCTGTGGGTTATATGTGTGACGTTATATAGTGACGTGGCCTTCGATTTTTGGCTTCATCAAGCAAATATACATTTTCCGATGAAAAAGCAAGGGGAAACAAAGGTGGCCAAGGGCATAGTTACAGCCAAAAATGTTTGCTTTTTCTCTGGCTTAAAAACATAAAAGATATTTACAAATTTTAACTTTTGTATCATATTGGACATTAATGATTAATGCACTAAAATATATTAAGGTTTTCAGATCTTCCTCCCCTTACCGGGTTTTCTTATTTCTTTAAAATGAAGTCTCATTTTTAACCCTATGCTAGGCCGTAATAAATTCTGTAAATGAAAGGAGTGAAATTTTAGCTACCAGCCCAGGGCTCGAAACAAAAAGGAAAAAAGGCAATTAAATTGAAAGAAGGATAAAATTACATCACATGTGAGAAAAATGTACTCCCCAAACGGGCTTTTTTCCCACCACCCTCCTCAAATCTTTTCGATGCGTGTAATGGTTTGGCAAGCGCTAAAATTCATTATCAGGCATTTTATTAATAACTTGTTGATAAGCGACAGAAACTAGATTAACTAAACTGATATACAGCCCGATGAGTGAATATAAATATAGCATAAGTCGAATAATTTGTGGGGGGTTCCACTCCACCGTTTTACCTATTTGTCCTTCACTTATCAAATTTTGATTTCATTTTATGGCCAGAAAATTGTGTCTGTCGTTGGGGAAATAATTTTGTAATCGTCTGGCTGACCCCAGTCTCTTTGAATTACCCATGCTTAACCCATTTTATCATATGCTGAAATGGAAAACATTTCATTTTTCCCATCCAGCATTTGACATTTTTGTGTCGCACAATTTGTCCTTTTACTTGTAAGGCTTAACTTGGGTTTTGGTAGACAATTTTCGGTTCCACACTGAGTAGCAAATTATCTGGAAGTTGTATCTCCTTTTCCACCACTCCCTTTCACCTTTCTCTGAGTTTAAAAGTTTTGCAATTGCTGTTAAATTTAGCGTGGCAAAGGCTCAGTCTGGCAGGAGAGAGCTGGCCAACTAACTAACTCAATCAGAGTGCGTCCTCTCTGCCATTTTCTCTCTGGCTTGCCACCTGTTGCTGCGGCTTAAATGCCCTCGAACTTGGCTAACAAACAAGGCACTTTGTGCCAGTCAAGTGCAGTCAAGGATGTCGACAGTTTCTCCCTGCTTCTCCATCTTCTTGTATCCTTATGCTAAAAATCTTTTTCAGCCATTTCTTGCCCCAAGCTGTGAACAGCTCCTCCTGCCATTTCTCATTTTAGGCCATATAGTCTCCTTGCAGCGGAAATTAGCTGCCTGAAAGCTGGCTACACTTTCTTTTTTGGCTCTGGGATAATTAAGCGTTTGCCTGAAGAGCAACTGAGAAAAGGCTTTAACGAAGAAACTCCTTAAGAGAGATAAATAAGAATATTTTTTCTGCATTTGACAGGTTTTGTCGATTGAATTTCTTATTGAAACGCCAATCAAAATGGAAACTGTCCTAACCACACAAGCATAAAGGAACAGAAAATAGGTATTCGTGCTTAATTGATATTAAAAAGGATTACAACATACTTGGGTGACCATAAAAGACATTTTACATTTCGGACAATTACAAATTTCTTCCCCTTTACCTCTTCTTTTTTATAACTAATTCAATAATGAGTAGGACGAGAGCTGGAGTCCTGTCACGTGCCTGCTTCCATTTTATTTCCATTGTCTCCGCCAAAAGGAGCAAAGTAGAAAAGGAGGCAGTGGAGCTGAGGAGTCCATCAAGTCTACCTGTCATAGCCATGGCCAAGTCACGTGCAACCACAGTTTGTCAATGACTTTAGCCTCCACTCCCCATCTTCATTAGACTTTCGCGTCGTCTCTTGTTTTTCTGGCAACAAGTTGAGCTCTACTTTTGACCCGCAGACCTTCTTTTGGCCGCATAAATTATTTAGTCTCTCGCCGCTATATTCTAATCAGCCTGACGCGTAACATGAATACACTACTGGAGGCACCGACTCCCTTTCACCTTTTATGATATATGCCCCTCTTGAAGTTTTTCATGTGCAACGTGGCCCTTTCAAGCTGTGTCACTCTTAGGAAGAAATTAATTTGTTACCTGAGTTCCAGTACCAAAACATTGTGACGTTTCCTCTTGAAGTTTTGCCGAAACAATGAGGAAGATACTAGGGAAAGTGTGGGGAGAGTTAAGTGAAATAATCCGAAACTTAAATTTCTATATAAGCATGACTTGTTTTTCAGATTTTTAAAATGTTTCAAGAAAAAAATTCACAAAAATGGAATTATATGTTTCCTTAAATATCAACTTTATCGACAACAAATGTTTTTTTTAAGAAACTTTCTTTTGTTTAAATTAGCTGGAAAAAGACCAAAAAGGTATTTCTAATTTATTTTGGTTGCAAAGTTAGAGCTATTGAAAGTACCCATATATAGTGTTTCGGGTCAATTCACACCTTTGTGCGACACACTTGATTAACATGTTAATAATGGAATATTTTGAATTGGTGAAAGTTTGAAGAGCCAACAATAAAACCATAAAAAGCAAGGACCGATGCTTCAATGAAAATATTTTAATTGATTTATTAGTGTCATTTCTGTCAAGAGGTTTTCAATGACTATTTCTCGAGATTTGCTTTTGGGTAAAATCTGTTTCAGTGCAACTTTTAGTTTGAATATGAAAAGAGGAGTTGGTCTTTTGTTGGCGTCCTCAAAAACATGTTTCACAAATTTTTGACAACGTAACGCTGGAGAAACGAAGAGTAAGACAAGTGGAGCCGGAAAGGGGGAAATAAAGAGGAGCAGAAGTCAGTTACCTGAAGCATCGGGCCATAACTTGCGATGTTGTCGCTTTCTGGCTACCATGATTTGTATGTTCCAAGTGCCCCATCGTCATTCCCCTTTTTTTCTTAACCATCCACTCCCCAATTTTTCCCCCTTGTCACCTCTTTTTTGCAGCAAGTGCAATTTAATGTCCAAAAGCAGAGTGCGTAAAAAAACAGCAGCAACCAGAAATGCATCAAAGTGAAAGTTTTAGTTTACTCTGGGCAACCTTGAATGGGGCGGTAATGGGGGAAAATCGGAGTAGGAGGAGACCTTAAGCTCTGCTTGAATGACCACGAAAACCTTGACACCATTGGTGGGAAAACACTTATAAAGTGCAACAAAGTACTCCAGTACCTACAGTAGTAGGCCCTGAAGATGGCCACTAAATCTAAAGCTCATTACCATGTGGAAGCAATCAAGTGCTGCTGTTTCTGCAACTGCAACAGCCGTCTGACTTTTACGGCAACTCTTGCCTCGAATATATATTTGACTTGGCCCCCGTCAGACACATTTGTAGATAGTTTAAATAATTAATGAGCTTCAACGGTTGCAATTTTTATTTTCCAGAATTTACAGCAGCTTTTTTCGGGGTTGTGTTAAGGGCGTACGAACGTGATGCCGCCAGCTGGGGCATAAATTTGGGTGTCCCGAGCGGTACTTGTCTCGGCACTTGGAAAAAATATTTAAAGTATAGAAAACTTAGGCACAAATAAACAGATTTAATAATTTAAAAGTCAAATATTTTTGATTTTAGATCTTATAAGTTAGAAAATTGTTAACTATAAACCAATCAGCATTTAATATATTCAGTATTAAGCAATATTAAAAAATAGGAAAATATAAGTCTCCAATTTATAAATTATTAAGAAATCAAATAGTTCTGCATTCAAGAAAAAAATATTTTTACAAATAAAGAAATCTATGTTTTTTTATAAGAATTGAATTTTATGAATGGAAACATTTTTCCATCATGTATCATTTAAAAGCCAAATTATTTTAAGTATTAAAACGGAATCCTACATGATTAATTAATTGAAAATATACTCAATCACTCTTCTTGTACTCAGACTTTAATCTAAAATCATGATTTTAGACTTAAATATTCTTGTCCCAGTGCAGGGGTGCAAACTTGTTCAAACTTTAGACTTTTTGTGTGAATTGTTCGCACGTTGACCATTCCCTCAGAGAGAAATCCAGGGACAGAGGTCCTGGCGGAGTCCTTGTCCTTGGTGCACGTTAATCGCAACTTGTCGCCCCGAAGGGAGGCCTCTAAAAGCGGGAAGGTGAAAGGAATTGCGGTTGCATATTTGATTTTATAACTTTTCTTGGCCGGACACATAAAACGAGGTCATCAAGGGAGCCGCCCAAAAGGATTCAATTTGATTGGATTGAATGTGTCTGGAGTCGGCGGAGTGACGTGGTATGATTTCGGGTGGCCATATGCCACCCATAAAGGCCCCGCCCACCGAACACCACCCGTGGTGCGGAATCACGTAGAACTCCGAACGGATGTTTGGTCGCCCATTGAGCTGCATTTTAAATTATGCGATGCGTTGGGACTTTGTTCGCAATTCGCAGATACGGATACCAACACGGATTCGAATTGGGATTGGGATACAAAAGGAGAAAAAACAGCAACAGCCGTGGAAGAATGAAATCGAAACTTATTAAATATTTAGTGAGTGGATGAATGAGTTTACATTTTTTGCTTGACTTTATGATAATGTGCTGGCCATAAAACCCCCAAAAATAAATACACATATGCCCCTCGAGCAGATCCCCTTTAAACCACAATCTAAACGCCATCAGAGACGAGCTGGAAAAACCTGCGAAACACTTGCAAAATATCCATGAATTTTTGTTTGACTTTTGCCAATTGCATAACAACTGCAATTGCAACTTGTTTGTCCACCTGCGAGTGAATTCAGGTCTGATCTCAGCTGACCTTTTGTTTGCCTGCCCGGTAATTCATAAATATTTGATTGCTTCAGGGGGACAAACAGGACGAAGGACACGGAAGTCCGGAGAGGAGGGTCGACTGTGCTGACTGAAACAATCAACACGTTTAAACGATTTTATTAATTTATTTACGACTCGACAGCTTTGTTTTTAAACGGTTACCACCCATTAAAGGTTTTGAATTACATTGAGCGTTGAATTAAGTGCAAGGGTCAACATATAACATTTCAAGGGGAAATGCTGTGAGAGCTATTAAATACCGATACCGATTATAATCATATTTAATAAGGTACATATTGAACAAAGGTGAATTTTTACTTTGTTTAGGGAAAACCCATATTAATTTCTATCAAAGTGGACGATTGCATATTAGTTTTAAATCAAACTAACTAATGACAAACGAGAACTAAAATAGCAAATATCGATCAAGAAATCAAACAAAGTCAAATACATACATGTTTTGTGTTGAGCCTCACAAATCGCATAAATTAGCGAGGATTCAGGAGTAAGCACTCCAAGGATAAAAGCCCCTCAGCAGCGTGTGAAGAATCCCACAAGCAAAACAGGAGACTCCATAAAATGTTTCACATATTACTAGAAATTCATGGAAAATAATGCAATAAAAATTCACAGCCACAGACAGCGACACCGGAATAAAGACAAACCGCCAAGGTTTCTTAGATGCCGCGTAATCCCTGGAAAACAAACCGAAACACACATAGGACACCCAGACACCCAATACAAATTTTTTACGCTTTTTTATTTCATCAGGAGATTTGCACTTGAGCGAAAGCCGGCGACAAAAACAGCAACGACGACACTTTGGTTACGCTCCAGAGTCACACTTAACCGCCGTGCATGTGTGTTTGTTACCATTTTTTTTCTTTTTCGGCCCGCTTGGGTGGATTATTCAGCGGCAATCCGCATGCCACTTGCCGCATTTCCACTTTCCACTTGCCCCATCATCGTTGTGACTTGAACTCGAATTTGAAACAACAGCCGGAGCATGTAAAAATGTTTGCAAAATACCCAGGAGATGCACATAAAATATTTAACAGACAAGCCCTAGGAACTTTCCCACCCATGTGGGTGACTCCTGGTTAATCATTTGTTTCCTTTTCCCGGCCTCAAGTGCAATAATCTGTCTCGGTTCTTCTCCTTTCTCCTCTTTAGACATTTAAACGGGGATTCCCGACAAGTTTAAGTAAACATTTCCCCGCGCCACTTAAAAGCATAACAGCCAAACAACTTTCTTAACAAACAACAATAATAATATAATGATGAACAACAGGAGAGTTGCCAAAAAAAAATTAGAAAACTTTTCCTGAAGTCAGGAGGCCCAAGCGACACATTTCAATTGCCAAGTTCAGATCTCTGGAGGGTTCAAAAAGTTTGTCTAAAAATTCACTGGCCTTTAAACCTTTAAAATTTAAGCAGCATTTATAATTTAGAAAACAATAGGATATAGATGGTATTAAGTAAATTAAAGCCAGGAAAAATGGATTCAACTAAGATTTCTGGAGTAACTGTCAGAAAATAGGAACACAGGGTATGAATTGCAACCATATTTGAAATTTGTAAATAGTTTTTATTTTTGAATAATATTTCTTTAACTTCTATAAGAACTTGCTAATTAAACGTGTGTTGTTAAAAAACTTAATGCAATAATTTAACATTTTCAAAATACGTGAACCGAAAAACAATGGACATATTGTTTTATTTATTAAAATAATTAATTGTGAGCGTGCTTTCACCCTTAAGGTTTAAATTTTCTGAAAATGCACAATTCAAAACTGAAGTAATGCCCATAAGAATGGTGTCCTATAAAAGGCATTTTACAGCGTGTTTATGGCTCTATTTGCTCCCTCTTTTGCACCCCTAAGATACTGTGAATCCATTTCTATATATCATAATCATCATCAAATGGGCTGCAACTGTGCCACATCATACATCAAGCTCAAGGAGCGACATTCTCATGCATACCTGAGCAGCTCCTTGCCTTTCATTCCCTTGTTTTACGCTTAACAAATTAAAGTAAATTCGCTTAGCGAGACCATCAAATAAATAATTTTTATAGACTGCTAAAAAAGAGAAGAGGCATGACATAAAGAAATGATGAATGGTTTCGGTTTAAGGTGGCTGTTGTCCCTCGACACCTGTAAGCACTTGAAACTTTGTGGCTAACAAGCGTCTAACAATTTGTATCTCCTTTTTTTTGCAGCTTCGACCGCGACCAGCCCTTCACTTTCCAATTGGGAGCCGGCCAGGTGATTAAGGGCTGGGATCAGGGTCTGCTCAACATGTGCGTGGGTAAGTGCTAAAAATACTGTTCTGCTAAAACAAAAAAAAATTAATTGTGAGTTTCGTTTTTAAATGAATCCAGGTGAGAAGCGCAAGCTGACGATTCCCCCCCAGTTGGGTTATGGTGATCAGGGTGCCGGCAACGTGATCCCGCCCAAGGCCACCCTCTTGTTCGATGTGGAGCTGATCAACATCGGAAACGCCCCGCCCACCACCAACGTGTTCAAGGAGATCGACGATAATGCCGACAAGCAGCTGAGTCGCGAAGAGGTAATCGTCTATGTATGGATCGCACTTTTGTTATATATATATCTCTCTACACTGAAATATCCGTTGGACGTGGGATAAAATACTAACTCCTAATCAGAAAAACATAATCACTATGAGCTCATATTCACAGATAATAATAGTAATGTAAAATTTAAAAGTCATAACTATTTGATATAATTGTTCTATATCATTATTTTTGGATATTCAGAATCATAACATGTTATGTGTGTATTCTGAATATAATACAATTCTGAAAAAGTTAATCTTGTTTACACAAACAATATAAACGAGCAATCATATATATAATATTACAAATAATTCTGTGAATATGTGTGCTTAATTGATCATCCGTTTTCATTTTGTGCCATAAGAAAATACTATTTTCTTTCTGTGTTACATTCTGAAATAAATTCACTAACTTTGTATATTGTTTGTTCTCTACAGGTCAGCGAGTATCTGAAGAAGCAGATGACCGCCGTCGAGGGTCAGGACTCTGCTGAGCTGAAGAACATGTTGGCTGAGAACGATAAGCTGGTGGAGGAGATCTTCCAGCACGAGGATAAGGACAAGAACGGCTTCATCTCGCACGATGAGTTCTCCGGACCCAAACACGACGAGCTGTAGGGCTCATCCTCGGGGGTTTTTGGTGTGCGCAAACATCGAAGGGACACGAGTGCTTAAGTTATATAAAACACAAATATATACACAAAAACTAAACAATATACAACAGATGAGGCACAAGCCGAGCAATAAATCGAGTGCAACTGATGCTTCCCGATGTCATTTTGTATATAGCATACATATCACCATCTTAACATCAACACATTAGAGGAGTGCATTATTAATTTGTGTGTCTGTCCCCCGGTACTAGACGTAGTTTAAATTATGTACAATCTGAGAGAGAATGAACATCATTTTTTATATACATTTATAGGTTGTTATATATTTTATGTCGTCTGCGGGTGGTGACGATTTTTAGACCCATCGTGAAGATAATGTTCATATCGTATTTTATAAACCAGACACACTCTCAAGACAAAGTCAATTGGAACACTTTAAATTAAATAAAGAATTGCTACCAATAATTTAACAACAATCTACAAAAGTTTTTCTTATTTCCACAAATTTAAACAGCAATTTGATCAACAGTTTTTATATAGTTTGTTATTCATATATACTCGAATGGTAAATGTGTAAAGCATATTAAAGAACATCACATACAAATATATATATTTAGGTTTCTTAGATACTTTTTACTTTCAATGAAAACTCAAAACAAATAAAATTCAAGAATAATATAACATTTTAAATGAAAGAGGAGAAAAATCGTAGAAAAGTAGAGACAAAAACCAATCGATGAGCTACTTAAATATATACACAGTTAACTGAGCCATCCAACAATACGACTATATATCCTTCTCATTAGCCCCATGGGCACGTGTAGATTTTGTAAGCTTTGATCGCATCGAGCTTAGAGTTAAGAAGGTATCCGCTTGGGCTTCAAAACCAGCAGGAGAATTGCACTACGAGGGACTAAAGTCAGGCGTTTAGTATGTAGAATACCAGCTCGAGAATTATTGGATTCTGAATGCCTGAAGATTCGCCATGAAGCGTGGCTATCAGATGGTTATCCAGGGCGTTCATGTACAGCGGCGGTAGTTTCGAGCCCCTGGCTCCGGCCTCATAGCCCACCTAAGAGTGGATGGTTCTATAAACATATTTTATGGATTACTATTTTTGTTAAACATACATTTTCCTGGTCGAGAGTGGCTCTTAAGCCAAGTTTATTAATGCCAGCCGCCGCTAAAAGATCAAGAAAGGGCAGCAGGGCCATCGAGGCACTGCGAGCCAATTCCTCAGCAATCCGAGTTATATCAGCAAAATTTGCACCATTTGAGGCATACCAGTCCTCGCACTATAAGGATAAAAATAGTAGTGAATAAAAAAAAAAAAACAAAGCTAAATATTTTTAATAATTGAACCGCAACTACATATATAAATTGGATTATTGTTGAATATTTTTTTTTAATTAAATAGGAAAATGACTTGCAGCACACTCACCTTGATAATGTAGATATCACTGAGGCGGATGGCATAATTGGTATTGGAATAGTTGAAGCTGGCATGGACACGCATGTTGCAGATGCCATCCATGGGTTGGTCATCAATGGGAGACTTGACTCTGTAAATTAAAGTTATTAATGCAGTCCCGTAAATTTTAAAAAGGTGTCTCTGCAAAATTTACCCCACATTGATGTCACGATTTTTGTCCACCCACTTGATGCTCACGATCTCACTCTGGTCGTCAGTGGCGTCGATGGGACCGCAGACGATATCGATGTCGTTTTGGTTCCGAAGCGCCTGACGTACTTCCTCCATTTTAGCGGGCATAATCTGGACCATCAGACCATCCTCCACGATACTGCATTTTCCCGACAAGCCACTGCTGCTCTTAAGGGCTTCATTTAGGACGAAGAAACTTGCACCCGTAATTTTCCTGGGTTGACCCTGAATGTTAATGGCCTGCGTGGAGTAGGAGTACATCTCAGATCGATCGTCGTTAATATTCTGCATGCACACTAAATGTCCGTCTGCAACTTTAGAAAAGTTACCAGCAAATGCCAATATATGATCACTGGCATTGTTGATTGCCTTGATTACGTCCTGCTGCCGATATTTTGGAATAATCACTGTTGTCTGCCTATCCTCCATGTGGATATATAATCCTCGGATGGCCGGTAATGAGTACGAGTAGTTTCGGAAGTCCACCAGGAAATTAATAATAGTTTGAGCTATTTCTCCATACACCGATTCCCTGCCCCGTACCGAAATAAGTGGACAGGGATAGTATCGATATTGGGCTCCTAAACGGAGGATTAATCGCAAAGGTAAGACTTTAGCCCAGGGAACCTCGTGACGATGGATGAGCACGCCAACCAGGTAGGGGTTATCTGGGACAATGACGCCCTGCAGACACTGGTACGTTGGCCGGATAAAAATAAATCCTCCATGCTCCCGGGAACCCAGGAAATTAGCGTTACGCGGACTGGTGAAAGCCAATTCATGGGTGCTCGACCGGGCATGCTCAGCCTCCACATAGATCTCATTGAGATGCTGAAAGATGTCTTTTGGGATAGCAACTTCGCCATTGACAGGCTCTCCTTGCTTCGGTTGCTTAATCTCCAGCAGAATGATCAACTCATCGCTAGCCATGTGATGTAGTCCAGATGTGGTGAAGTTCAGCACCCAGCGATTCATACAGCAGCTCACTATTGGGTTAAAAAATTACATTTATATGGATTTATATTGATTTATAGTTGCAAATACTGACTGTTAACAATCTTGACCAGCACATAGAAGTTGTTCTTTATGATAAACTTGAGCGTTTCGTTTTGTAGTCGCTCAAGGAGCGATCCATCATTGCGTACCACCTTGTATTCCACCTCACCGCCCTCTTTGCTAGTTATGCAAATGGGGGGCAGGCCGTTTTCTTCGGTGGGCAGATAGCAACCTTGGGCGTCTACGTTCGGCGGAAGTTTGCGATTGCGCGCTGGTTCCGTCTTGCGCCGCGGCGAGGTCTGAGCTTGGGATTGGGATGAGGACCGACCAGCTGGGGGATATAAAGGGATTACATCATATGGAATTTAAAAAGGACTAAGCGATTCGTTACCGCTTGGTGATTCGGTAGCTGCCAGTGTTGCAGCTGCTGTACTTGGGGGAATGGAACCACGAAAGAGTTGTGCCACCAAGCCCAATGTAGAGCTGGTATCAATGCTGCGTGGTGGCTCCTCTGTCGCGGGCGTTGGCGGTTTCTGACCTGCACCAGAACCGCTCCTGGAAAGTCCTCTCCTCGCCTGCTTGGCCTCGCCCCACTGCTGTTCCATGGTGCTGGCCAGTTCGCTGCCTGGCGCGATGCCATCACTGAACATTACACTCTTCCGCTTTCTTGCACCCTTCTTGCCATCTGAACTGGAGGAGTTCGAGGAGCTGCCATCGGTTTTCTTCAGCACACCAACGGGCACAATTACGCTAGGTGGCGGAGCTCCCGGTGAAGAGGCCACCTGGCGATGAGGTGGAATTGTAGAGCAATATTCCATTGGGTTGTTGGGATTTGGCGAACGCATAGGAGTGGGCGGCAGGGCTGAACCAGGAGCTGACTCAGTACCCAATCCGTTTGCCTGCCGCTCGGACAGAATCATATAACACTGTACGCAGACCCTCGATTCCGGCTCGTTCGCGAACTCCAGGTGGAAACGCTGCGAACAGCAAACAGAGCACAAGACCTTTCCGCAGGCGCGACAATGGTGTCGCCTCTTGATCATAGTGAACTTTTGCTGGCACTGCATACATTGACCAGCCATATTGTCCGGCACCCAAATGGGTGGCACCTTGCCCAGGTTGGCATGAGGATCGCTGTAGCCCACGGCCTCGTAGATAGGACTCTCCTCGTCATCTTCGCCGGGTATTACACCTACTCCTGCTGCTCCTTCAACGCCTTCGGCTGGTTTGGATTCTCCCTGGTGGTTTTCAGGGGTTTCGTCTTGGGATGGAGTTGCATTTCCTGCCTGACAGCCATTTAAATCCAGAGTTTGCGGTCGCTGCGGGCGCTGATCTTGGGTTTCCAGCGCATCAGTAGCCAGGCTGGCATCCTCCTGCTCTCTCCCAGCCTCCTGTTCCCCGTCGCCATCAAGTTTTCTGCCCGAAAGCGAATCTGACTCTGTGCTGCTGAAACTAGAGGCTATATCCTCGCCCATTGCGGCGACTGGCATGGATTCCTGTTGCTTAAGATCTGCAAACTCCACAGTGGAGGCTTGCGAGAAGTTGTCTACGTTCATCTGGTCATTGGAGGTGGTATCCTGTTCGTCAGACAGTATACGCACAGACTCCTCTTCGGTCACTGGAGAGGCGGAGGGGGATTTCTCTTCCTCGGGCATTTCATGATCTCCCTCCTGGTTGTCATCCGCGTCCATTTCTTGCAGCATGCTATCCAGCTCTGTGTCGGAAATCTCGTCCATTGTCGAGCAGAATGTCAGGGGTTGACTGCGTCTGGGATGCTGAGGTTGTGGTTGCTCTTCATCCTCATCTCCTGTTTGTGCCGGCTGCTCTTTTTCTTGTGGGGGAGGTACTTCAGGGATAGCTGCTTTCTGGAAGGCAGAGATGTAAGTATCAAATGGGTACATATTATTTTTTTGTAATTATTTAAATAATTTAGGTTAAAAAAAAAACTATATTATTTCTTAAGACAAGAACTTAAAAACATGTTATACGAATAACTTATCTTATGGTTTAAAACAATTTTACATCAAAATACTTACTACAATGGGCACTGGGACATCGATGCCATTGGTCATTTCCGTTTCGGGTTCTCTACTGGGCGATGATTCCTCCGACAGCTGCTGCAGGACCTGTCCCAAAACAGAGGATGCTGTGACCTCTTCTGGCAACATTGACTGCGATTCAGTGACGGATGCTGTTATTGAAATAGAGGACAGACCAACAGCCAGATCCTCCACATTTTCCTTGGATTCATCAGGGTCTGGAATCACCACTTTATCTTGATTTTGATCCTGTTCCTTAACCTTTTCTGTTTGTGGATCCTGTTCCTTTGGCACCACCTGCACTTCACTTGGCTTATCGGTTTCTGGGGGCGTTGTTAGCTCCTCTGAGTGACTGCCATTGCTCACGGGCGAAGGACCCGATGAAAATGTTGAACAGGATGATGTTGTAAGGGATTCGGAGGACGATACTATTGCTTGGCCTTTATCTTT